CTGCAGCTGCAGCAGCAGCACTCTGCTGGTGACCATTTGCACGCCTGCGAGGTACAGTCCCAGCAGACACATTATCAGATTAGGGGGAAGGCAAACAAACTGAATTGAAACCTTTCTTCAGCAAGTCCGACCTCTTCTTCCTGTGATGTCATGCTACAAATTGCCTGAGTTCTTTTCTGTCCTCTCCAGAAGGAACCGGGCTGGCGAGAGGAGGGCTGTGCTCTGCAGGAACAAACACGCTCTGGAATTTTGTTTCTGCCCTCGCAAGCAGCTTGCTTCCCGCCCCGTGGGGCGAGCGAGGAAGCAAACGTTCTGAGGAGCCGAAAAGCTCGTTTTACAGAAAGAAGGCTGAGGGAGAAATGCAAGTGCCGACACTTCGCGGCATCCAGGAAATGGTTTTCAAAAGCATATGTTCCCTGTAACTTTGGATGGACAAGACTTTGCCATCGTGATCTGCGGCCGAGAATGAGGCAGAAAGTTCTACGACGGCTTCATTGAATCGAGGGGGGAAAATGGAACTAAGCAAGCTTTGGGATGACCTCATCTGCCACAAATGACATGTTTTTTTGACTTTCAAGGACTTGCGATGTGATTACAAATAGCACTTGGAAGAGAAGAGTGACCTCCCGGTGATTACTGCTGGAGATGTACTCCCCTGCTACAGAGCTTGTGGTTCTTCTCTGAAGCTTTACAGGGCAAACTTCCCAAAGCACACAGTTCAAATACATCTGCAAGTTCTTCTGGAATTTAAAAAAAGTTCCAATACAAATACCAGAAAAACCTCCAAATCGCAGGAATTTTAAATATACCATTATAATGGTAAGCTCTAATTGTTCCACTGAGGACTCCTTTAAATATACTTTATATGGGTGTATCTTTAGTATGGTGTTTGTTCTTGGCCTCATAGCCAACTGTGTGGCTATCTACATTTTTACTTGTACTTTAAAAGTGCGAAATGAGACCACAACTTACATGCTTAACTTAGCAATATCGGATCTGCTTTTTGTGTTTACATTACCCTTCAGGATTTATTACTTTGTAGCGAGAAACTGGCCATTCGGAGACATTCTTTGCAAGATTTCTGTCACCCTCTTTTATACAAATATGTATGGCAGCATTTTATTTCTGACTTGCATAAGCGTAGATCGCTTTTTAGCTATAGTACACCCTTTTCGATCTAAGACTCTCCGAACCAAAAGGAACGCAAAAATTGTCTGCGTTGCAGTATGGATAACTGTGTTAGCAGGCAGCACACCAGCAAGCTTTTTCCAGTCTACAAACCTCCGTAATAATACGGCAGAAAGAACATGTTTTGAAAACTTTTCGGAGGACACATGGAAAACCTACCTATCCCGGATTGTTATCTTCATTGAAACAGTTGGGTTTTTTATTCCACTCATCTTGAACGTGACCTGCTCCACTATGGTCTTACGGACTTTGAATAAACCGATTACATTAAGTCGGAATAAATTAAGCAAGAAAAAGGTACTCAAAATGATTTTTGTCCATTTGGTGATATTCTGCTTCTGCTTTGTGCCTTATAACATTACCTTAATACTTTACTCTCTTATGAGAACACAGACCTGGATTAATTGCTCAGTGGTAACTGCAGTCAGGACTATGTACCCCGTTACTCTGTGCATCGCAGTTTCGAACTGCTGTTTTGACCCTATAGTCTATTACTTTACATCGGATACAATTCAAAATTCGATAAAAAAGAACCGGTCCACAAGACCACGGGACACCAGATTCTCTGAAAGGCCAGTTTCGGAAAACTTCATTCAACACAGCCTTCAGACCATAAAAATGAAAATATTTGACAGTGACTCTACAATATAAACTGTATTAAAAGACTACTAGGACTAAACTGGAATCAGAAGCCTGCACATTTCTTCAGCTGTGGAAATATATTCTGATATGTAAATGTTACACTTCCTTCACATCAGTAAAGTTTATAAGACTGTAAAAGTGTTAAGCATAATAGTATACAGAAAAAGTATTTTAAGAATTTACTTCCACTGTCTATTCTGACAGGTTGCATGTCAGCAACATGCTTTTGGTTTCAGATTAGGTTAACCAAAGTCCAAAGACTGTCAAGTCAAAACTAAATTAAAACATAGGTGGCTTTTTGTTTTTCTGAAGTTAAAACAATTGGTCATTTTTTTTATAATGATATAGGTTTCCAAGTTACTGAGAACAGGGATGAAACTACCTGCTTAACACTGCACGATCCAGTTGCAGAGGAAAACAGCACCATATTGATCACATCACTTCAGCTACTGTGCCTGCTCCGGAGTTCCCTCTTCTCTATCTTCCACCTTTCTCCTGCACCTTCTTTATTAGGGACCATTACGTTCATAGGAGACTTCGATCAATGGGCTACAAGGACTTTGTTTCTCCCAGGTTTATCTGACAAAATAGATGCTCTCTCCACAAGCCTGGTCCCCGTAAAGAAATTAAATCTTCTGGTAGTTTAGGGCATCTGGAAACAACTCAGACAAACTGGTTTTTCTTCTCACCTCTGTCTCAGATGTCTGTGTAATTATAACAAAATAACCTCTGATGACTGAAGTTAGTGCTTTAGGTATAGTACCACTTTATTAAACTCTTTTGTGAGAAGTTCTTCAACTCAACACGGCTTTTGAGCAAAATAACATCCTCCAAATAAGGTAACTCAATCTCAAAGTAGTAGTTTCTTAGAAAAACCATGCCTTTGGTAACTAGAAATGAGCATGTGCACCAACCCAAATATTTCTTCTAGGAAATTATTTGGTGTCCCATAAAAAAAATTCAAGACAGTAATTTTTAGAGTGAAACTTCCTCTCAGTCTTTGTGTCCTAGACCTATTTTTAACATAGGCATTTAAAATTTCAAATATTATTTTCTGGCAAACTTTATAAAGTATAAAAATAAATTACTTGGGGTTATGTGCTGGCAAAATTAACTGAGACACTTTGAAAAGTCAAAGCCACATAAAAGGACAAATCTACATATATTACTGTTACAAACAGAAATATATAGACAAGCGTGCTTTACAACATCCTGCTATGTATGTTTCCCAGCTATTAGAACATTGTGTACATTTTCCTCAAAATTAATTTAACATGGCTGTAAAAATTAAATAAATATTTTGAAGGTAAAAGTAAGTACTAAGTGTTGGTTTTTCCTCCCCAAAAACAATGGAGTCAATAAGAAGAATAGATTTAAAATGAGTTTGCACTTTAGATTTAGGGCAGTCAGTTGCAACACAGGTATAACACTGAGGCATTCTGACTTTAGGGTATATGGAAGTGTGACTCAATGTTGGAGAAAACGCGTATCGAGCTGTCAGAGTGTATGATATGTTACCTGATTGACTTCCCTTTGCAAAGTTTTTGCTTGTTATAAATCTACTGTACGTTGCCTACTACCGCTGGAAAAGTGAGTTACTCGGAGACTGCTAAAAACTAATGCTGACTGAATCTGAAGTTTAACAGCATTTTAAATCTTTATCCGTGCAACTTATGAAAGGAAAATTCAAATAGTATGAGTGTAAGCGACAAAGATAGCAGAGATATAAATCTGCATAATATCTGAAAATAGGCAGTTATCTTAGTTGGGAATCCTAAACTCTTCTGATTCATATTCAGCTGCAGAAAAAAAAGCAGACGAAACCCCCAGCATAAGTAGAAATTCTGTATGTTTTCCATATGTCACTGACAAAGCCAAAGTTCAAAAGCCAGATATGTATCTCTAACATCTCAATGCATCTCTCTCTAAAGAGCCTGTTTAATATTAGACTCCCTCCAAAGACTTTGAGTCTAAAGCCCTTAATGTCACTGCTGGGCTATGTTTCTAGGCTACTACTCCCCCCGAGCTTGGCAAAGCTGTTACTTGGTTGAGTGACAACTTGTTCAGCAACACCTCTGCATTACAGCAGCGAGCACGCCTGAGCCTTGCCCTGGTAAAGAGAAGCTGCTCTTTCTGAGATTATGAAACTGCAGAAAAAAAGAATTAAAAAAAAAAATCAAGGACTTAAAAGCAGAACAAGCAGATAAAGCCACGTGTATGGGTACTTCAATTTAAACCAGACTTTCCTTGGTGTATTAGCTCAAAGAGCTTGGGAAAGCACGAAGAGTAGCTCTTTCTGCCTTGCGCTCGCTCTCCAAAGCAACAGCTTCTGCTTTTTGCCATAGCGTAACACAACGCAGTACAATTGCTTTCCGACCAGTTAACAGCTTGTTATCTCGAAACTGTTTGAGGAAGCTTACTATTTTGTATTATTAAACATACTTCACTC